GGATGCGGGGATCGGGTTGTCCCTGTCTGCGCGGTGTGGCAAAGGAGCCGGTCAGGGAGTCGCGGGAAGCATGAATCTTGTTTCCTTCGAGATTGGAGCGCGTTCCGGCCTCCTCCGACACCGCCCGCCGCCGCCCAGCGCGGCCTTTCAGCGTCCCACGGCTCACACTGCCTGCCAGGCCCTCGGCCCCGCTCGGCACAGCTCGGCTGTACCTGTGCTGTTAAAATCTCCTGGCCTCTGAAGCGGCTGGTGGCATCCAGGCCGCCTTTTGGGAGCTGCCCCTGCCCTGTGATTGGAGTAGCTGTGGGGGTCAAATCCATACCCAGTGTCCTCAAAACATTTAAACTGGAGGAGTGATGGTGCTAGTTTATTATGTATGTGGTATTTATATTATCTCTGAAACAGTGGGTTCTTCAGTAGGTAGCACTGACATTGTTCCTCTCTTAAGCACAATCTGTATCTCTGGAGAAAGCAGCAAAAAAAGGAGGAAAAGCTGCTTGTGTAAAAGTCACCCCGAACATAAGAGATAGAAGAGAGCCACAACAATTACCATGGAGAAGAGAGTATTTGGTATGTCTTCCCCTTGGTCTCTTTATCAATAACACACAAGGCAGGCCAGGCTGCAACTCAAGGGCAGGCAGCAGGATCTGAGAGATTTGTAAGCAGAAGTCAAGCAGAGAGAAATGCAGCCAGACTGTCTGCCTAGGCATGGTGTGGGAGAGAGAAGAAAGCCAGCTGGTGGGAGATAAAGAATGAGTCTGATGAGCTTAGAAAGGAAAATAACAGACTGAAGGCCAATCAGGGCTGACAGAGCTAGATCTGAAAGACAGCACTGTGACTGCTGACTCAGATGCAGCTGCTGGGTCCAAAGAGTGCTCTCTGATTTCTCCTGCTGCAATATCCAACTTAGCAGGGGCCAACACCTTCCTCAGAGAAGAAAACTTGCCTCTGTGGGCTGTGGGTCATCCTCCAGGAGAGTGACAGCAACCTTTGCAACAAGGCTGTGTGGCAGAGTGCCCCTGTGCACAGCTTGCTGTGGGGCAGGAGGGCTGCCAACCCACTCTGCATGAGTGGGGATTTATCCAGGGTCACAAAGTAGGATCTTAGGCTCGATATGAGCAGGGACAGGATCAGAAGGCTGTGGTTGCTGTACTTCCTTCCTAGGTGTTTTAAGGGAGATGGAAACACAGGAAGAAAGATTAAGGAAAGCCATAGCAGAAGCTGGTACTTTCTTAGGAATAGTGACCATAAAGCAGATGAGAGGAGAAATGGGGAATAAGGAATTGAAGTGGAACTCAGAACATCTGGATTTAGCACCATCTTTGACATCAACTTCTGTCCAGGCAAGTCCAACTTGCCAAGGGTAAGACAAGCCTCTTTAGCCTCCTGCATCCCTACTCTGCTGAAAGGGAAGTCTTTATCAAGTTTTTCTATCCCTTATCTGTTTAAAGCTTATGCATTCTAGAGGAAAGACACTGCCATTATGTGCATATATGCTACTGTAATACCCAGCAATAAAAAAGTCTGACCTGTGAATCCTCATGCAAGAGGAGTGGATACTTTGATCTGCCCCCTGTGTGTTATGAGGGATCCAAGGACCACTTCTAATGGGACTTCTAAAAAACACTCAGAAGCCCGGGCTTGGTGGCAGTAGGCTGAAATCTGCTGAGTACCCACAGGTCAAGGGGCTGACAGATCAGAATGCTCTGGCACTCCACCTTCTACACTTCTTTGTCATCATATCCAGCATTTGTCCATCTGACCAAAAGACACCCTGATGAAGCAATCCAAGCTTGGGTGTTTTCCTTTCTTCCACCACAGCTATTGGCTCCAAGGGCCAAATATTTTATACAGGTGTTTTATAAAGGATACTGCTAAGGAGTGAGTTTAGTGCATTTCACTTAATAGCAAGAGGAGCTGTTTTGAATTGAGAGGACTTATCTTCATCCAGAACAATGCAAAAAGCTGCAGGACAAAAGATAAGTCATTATTGGGATCAGCTGCAGAATTTAAGACACAGCAGGTAGCTTAATGCCTTAAACTTAAGGCATGTTCTGTTCTTTTTTTCCAGGGCCACTAAGGTTCCACTTCTCTCTCTGAGGTCAACAGGAGCAGCAGAGGCAAGATTGGGTCCTAGTCCCTGAGACTTAACAGAACAAAGAAGGAAAAATCTCACTTGGAGCTGTTTGCTACACAAACATGTCATCAGTGAGCTGCAAGGATAGGACCAGGTAAAGGTTACCACTGGGTAAAAGAACTTCTGTGGAAACTTGACTGATTCTTAAAAGTCTAAATCATTACTTCCTCTTGCTTTCTTTCCTCTGTGGCTGGTGACACGTGAAATGAGTGAAACAAAATGCCTTGTCCCTCTGACTTGGAAGCCCTTTTCCTTTTTGCATTTGGTGTGATGTGCTTTTGCTAATAACCATCTTTGGCTTTTCAGACATCAAGGATGTGTGTGTGTAACACTGGATGAACAGGTATTATGTTCTCTCAAACAGTATCACCACACAGTTTCTTCTCAGCATGCCACAAGTCTCTATTTTTGTTTCTAGTTGAAAAAGTTAACAGCCCTGGTTTTCTGTTTTAGCATTTTGTCCCATTCCTCTCCAGTTTTTACTTTATGGAAACTTAAAACTTTGGCCTAACTTGTCTGGTGAAAACCCTGTAATTTATAGAGAGGACGAGACATTAGCAAAGCACATCCCTTGCTCAGAAATGCATCTCTTTGCAGGGCTGGCTGCATGCCTGCTTGACTCGGAGCATTTTTTCCTAAGCCTGTCCAGAGAGCTAGCAAGGAAGGCTCTGCTTTCGTGGCACTGGAGGCCTCTCGGCAGCCCCAGATGAAGACATCTCGCCCTCTGGTGGGTGAAACCACAATAGTTCAGAAGCCTTGGTCTGCATATTAAGAAATAATAATTAAAATTATAAGTGTGGTGATAACAGAAGGAAAAAAGAGCAGGTGTTTTAGAGGACTGAAATTCACACCGAGTGTCCATCCTGGGGGATGGGATGTGTACACAATGGCACATCATCCTCTTGGTAAAGAGAGTTTACACAGTGATGATGCCAATGGCAGTGAGGTTGGAACTAGATGATCTTTCAGGTCCCTTCCAACCCAAACCATTTTATGATGGGGGAGAAGGAGAGTAGCAGCAGCCCTGTCATGGAGTGATGGTCCAAGCTGATGAGCAGAAAGATGTAACAGATTCAAAAATCAACAAAATAGGGCTTCAGCAGGGCAGCCTCCAAGGTTCACATGTAAGTAATTAAGCGTGCACAAAGCACCATTATGGAGAAATCCCCCAAACTCTTCCTGGGAAATTAGTGTCTGCTATAGGCTGCTTAACCAGGAAGAACAAGTAGATGAAATCTACAGGCAGGCAGGAGCAGTCTCTTTGTACACCCTGGTCCTCATGGGGGACTTCAGCCACTCTGGTATCTGCTGGAGGGACAACAAGCGGGACATAAGCAATCCAGGAGGTTCCTGGCATGCAGTGATAGCTTCCTCCTCCAAGTGATAAAGGATCCAACAAGGAGAGGTGCTTTACTGGACATCATACTCATCAAAAAAGGCTCATTGTGGTTGTGCAGGTCAAAGGGAGCCTTGGCTGCAGTGACCAATGAAATGGTGGAGTTCAGGATCCCAAGAGGAGGGCAAAAAGTTCACTGCCCTAGACTTAGGAGAGTAGACTTTGGCCTCTTCAAAGACCTCTATCCACTCTAATATATCCACTCTATAATTATTACCCACTTTTCTTCCTAGTGACTCATAACCTTCCGTAGTTGTGCATTTGGGAATTTCACACCACACCAGTCATTTTGCTTTTACAGATTTTTTTTTCTTTTTTTTTTTTACTAAGGTTTTTAAATAATGATCAGTACAGTACAAAGCTTAAAATATTACCAATGTTTTCAACAATACAAAGTCAGCAGATGGGAGTTGAGAAGGGAATGGTTAATATGTAGCACTCATACCCTTCCCTGTTTCCCAGGGAAAAAAATACAAACTTTTGTACTTCTGTTTAGTAACAAACATTGCTTAAAAATAATCTTGTCAGTAGGAGACGTAAACTGCAAGGCACGTGAGGAACCTGTCCTTACCTTATTACACAAATCACTAGGCATAAATACAAGTTTAAGGCACCTCTCTCCATCCTCCCCTTCTGCACCATCGATGCTGTCCGTGGGTAGCAGCTGGTAAGAGCAGCCATGGGCAGGCAGACAGCAAAGAGCTGCCTCTGAGCCTTGGGTTCCTTCAGGATGAATCCCAAAAAGGAACAGCATAAGGCACTTTGGGATGTATTTTCAGGAGTTGTTCAGGTTGCAAGATCTGCAAAAATACTATCTCAGGACCAAAGATTCCTGGGGGAGAGAGTTGGGACCTTGGTCCCTTCAGGATCTCAGATGTACTTAAACTTTGATGGTCGGCTCCTCACCAAACCCTGCCACTGGTACACCCCTCCTTGCTGTGCCCCCTTAGAGGAACACTGGGATGGAAGAAGGTGTGCTTCAAACAGTAAGCCCCAGGAGAAGGGCCTGAGAGGCTCTCAGAAAAGCTGAGGATTTATCACAGTGGCACTTTTACTCTCTCCAGACCCAGCCCTGGCCTCTCCTAGATCAACAGTGGGGCTTTCAGGAGGGCATCAGCAGCCACTGTCCAGTCCTGGCCCAGTTGCGGTGCAGTAGACGAGATGGCATTTGGAGTCTGCCCAGGTAGGCAGCCAGGTGCATGAGGCACAAGGGTGAAGTCTGGGGATGAGGAAAAGAAATAAGCTGGCTGGAGGAAGAGGAGGATGGAGATAGGGATGAAGGAAGCTCCAGTGTTGGTGAGCCCCTTGTGACACAAGGGTGCATCCTCACAGCAGCAACAATCTGTATGAAATTCCCTGCTGAATCAACCCATCATAG